GCTGAAGCTTCGGCCGAATTTGACTAAAGCAACAACACCAATATATAAAAATAATAAAAAATTAAAAATAAACATTTTGAAAAAAGTTAAAAAAAAATACTTTTAAATAGATATTTCATTGCTTGAGCCGAAGAAGCCGAAGCTTCGGTTGAATCTATCTTAAGCAAATCCAAATCTGACCAAAGCGGCTGAATTTGATCGAAGCAACAACAACAGCTTTGCTTCGCTTCGATCTAGGCCTAAAACCCAAAAGTTTCATCTGTTTTGGTCGAAGTGAAGCGAATTTGACAATACTACTAAAATCCATAATACCTTACATCACCGTCACTTTAAGATCCCATTGGGAGCTATTAGCACTATATCTCATGGTCAGGTTGTGAAATCAGTTGCTGCCTCTTCAATGCCACTCTCTATAGCAAATGACATAGTTGATTATTCACTTCATTTGAAAGGGGAAGGATCTTGTGTGTTTCAAATGTGGCTTCAAGAAGGCATTTGAGTACTATTCTATGATAGATGGTAAAATTCTTCACTTGGTATTGGCACTTCTTCTTTAGAAAAAGTATTCAACTCTTTTTTTTTTTGACAAAGGTTCCAAAATTTTATTAATGGAACTAAACAAAGGAGATTATATCAGTAGAAATCAACAAAGAAGGTAAAGAGGCCCCGCCTTTGGTGAGGTCAATTAGCCAAAGAATTAGGCTCACGGTACACATGAGAGAAAGAAACCGAAAGGGGAGGTTGAGAGGTCCAAATTTCCAACCAAAAAGATCGAAACTTCCATGGGATATGCTGCTCCTTCAAGCACCAACCAATCACATTTAAGGAATCACCTTCAATAATACAGCTAGAGCCGAGATTTTTAGAGATGAAAATTTTTAAACCTTGCAATAACGAAACTAGCTCTGCATGATTGGTTGTGGTCGTGCTAAGGGGACCAGCATAGGAGAAGATTATCTCCCCCAAACTATTGCGCAAGAACCCCCAAATACTAGCAAAACCAGGATTGTCTAGCGAGTCGCTATCAAAGTTCAATTTGAAACACCCCTCCCCCGGTGGTGACCAAAAACATCAACGTCTCATCTTGACTTTGACCAACCGAAAGATATTTGGTAGATTTAGCAAAACATCGGGGAGAGAAAGACCCCTTCCCACCTTGGTTACAGATAAACAGTGCCAAAGGGAGAGCTTGACATTGTCAAGTAGTTGGGCTTCAGAAAGACTTATCCCCTCGAAGGTGCACCTATTCCTCTCTTTCCAAATCTCCCAAAGCACTGCCCCTCTAGCAATCTGCCAGACAGTAGTACCTTCGAATGGTAAATGAGGGAAGGCAAGTTGAGGCACAATATCCAAAACTGTCAAAGGGATGGGTGAGTGAAGCCCAAGTAAACCAAGAAACCAATACCAGATTTTGGTGGCAACTTGATAGTGAATAAAAAGGTGATTACCAGTTTCCTCATCCATTTTACACTTTACCTCTCTTAATCAAATTGTCAATAGTTAAAATTTTGTTTTGGGTGGCAAGCCAAAAGGAAACCTGCACTTTATGGGGGATGGGCCATTTCCAAACTGTGGCAGCTGAAGGCAGAGAACATTGCCATCTATAATGAAATAGCAGTCTATAGCAAGACTTAACCATAAAGAGGCCGTTGCTTTCAAGTTCCCAAGTAAGTTCATTTGGGTGGCCAGGGGAGATATAAACCTTCTCCAATAACCTCAAAAGATGAATCCATTGATTGAAGGCCTCACCAGAGAGACGATTGTACGGGAAGGAGATATTCCAAGCAATGTTGTTGGCTATACACTCGACCAAGTCAGCAACCTTAGCATTTGGTAGGAGAACCTTAGCGAAAAGGTCAGGAAACGTAAGCTTCAGTGGGACGTCGCCTAACCATTTAATGGTGCCAAAAAGTAGTAGAAGCACCATCCCCTACATTCCAACGAAAATGGCTCGTAATCATCGGTCTACATCTATATATGGGCTTCCACATAAATGAAGCTTCGCTTAGTCGGCCTCCTTCTAACCACATACCAAACCTGTCCCTGCCATATTTGCAACGTAAGACCGGAAACCAAAGCTGGTTAGAGCAATGGAAGCTTCGCCACCACAATTTACAAAGTAAAGCCTCATTCATATATTTAAGTTTGCGAATGCCCAAACCTCCTTTACGCTTAGGGGTGCAGATCCGATCCCATCTAAGAAGGTGAAACCTCCTAGCATGTCCAAAGGAACCCCACAAGCAGTTACGCATCATCATTTCGATTTTCTTAATAACAGAGGCATGCATAAGAAGAGGGAACATAAGGTAAATAGGTAAATTTGCTAGGCACGATTGAAGTGGAGTCACCCTACCGCCCAGAGAGAGATACTTGGGCATGCACAGGTCCAACTTAACTTGAACTCTGTCTAACACCCTATCCCAAACCGAAGTAGGATGTTTGGAAATAGAAAGAGGAATACCCAAATAAGATAAGGGAAATGACCCAACTGAACAGCCTAAACGGTTGGCTAGAGACAAGGTCAGATCTGGCTGACAATTGATACCATACAGAAAAGTCTTACTAAAATTAACCTTTATGCCCAATGCCGCCTCACAACAATCCAAGAAGCAAGCAATATTAGTGATTTGAATTGCTGAAACCTCACAAAAGATAAAGGTGTCATCGACATACTGTAGATGCGAGACAATGGGACCAAAATCATCCAATTTAAACCCATTAAATCTACCACACCGTTCGACATTCTGGAGCGTAAGGTTGAAGTACTCAGCATAGATAGAGAAGAGAAATGGAGATAAAGGATCTCCTTGAGGAAGTCCCCTAGAGGCCTTGAAGAAGCCAGACGGGGAGCCTTTGATAAGAATTGAGAAATGGGTCGAGGAAAGGCAACCTTAGATCCAATTCCTCTATTTTCCCCCGAAGCCCATATTCTTAAGGATTTTCAATAATACACCCCATTCCACTCGATCATAGGCTTTCTCAAAATCCAGCTTTAAAACAGTTCCTGTAGCTTGGCTACGCATCCTATCGTGAATGCATTCTTGAGCCACCAATATGCTACCGGGAATCTGACGATTTTGGATGAAGGCCAATTGATTGGGAGAAATAATAGAGGGGAGGACCGACTTCATCCTCTCAACCAATACCATAGCCAAAATCTTATACATGCTGGAAAGTAAACGAATGGGCCGAATGTCTGACAGTTTAGCAATAAATGATTTTTTAGGGATCAGAGCAATAAAAGTGGTATTGACCCCTTTAAAAATTTCACCCCTAGCCATAAAGGGTTTGACCATCTCAAGAAGCTCAGATTTAGTAAGATTCCAAAATCTGTGGAAAAAAGAGAGGAGGAAGCCATCCGAACCCAAGGCCTTGTCACCAGGTAAGGAAAAGACCGCTTTCTTCCGCTCTTCCAATGAAATATCCTTCTCCAAAGAGGATCTGGAGTCAGCCGAGAGGCATTGAAAAGGTACTCTAGAGAGGATGGGGGTATATTTAACTTCCGAAGAGAAAGCTCTCCTAAAATGAACAACAATAGCCGCCGCCCACTCTTCACGGTTATCCGAGTCCACCCCCGGGATAGTGAGAAAGTATTCAACTCTGATATCTCATTCAACAGTATGTTGCCTGGCAAGAATGTGGAATGTGGGACCATTAAAACCTACACAAGATGTTCCACCTAGAACACTAATATGCATGATTTTCCAAATCACACCTTTAAAATATTTCATCCAAATCAGATCTTTCAAATATTTCACGAGCACAAAAGGACCGAAGGCCATCGCCCAGTCCCATGTCTTGGAACTGCTAGTCAAAGCACCAACATGAATACTGGGTCACAGAACCATAAATGGGTTAGTACAAGGGTGCTTTCTAAAGCATCCCACACACCTAATCTTTCCTTGATGCTTCTACATTAAAACTTGTTAAAAACCCCAATCAATCTAAGACATCCTGAAATACATATTGGTGTAGATAACAATTTAATCCTAGTAGAAGGAAGTGAATATAGCCATCTTGAGAGAGAAGGATTAGGCAACTTAAAGAGTTATTCCAAAGTCCGAAAAAATAGAAGTTCAAATTAGAGCAACTCAATTGGATTTGACAGGAAGGGGATGTAATTTACAAAAGGCACATCTTTTTAAGATTTGATTGGGCTAACAAAATAGAATCATAATTGATAAAGTTAGTCCAAAGGGTTAGAAGATACAATACATATTATCTCCATGCTTCATGTTTTAAAATTTTAATCTATTGAAAAATAAAACCTAAAAATAATCTAAAGTTTTTTTTGTTGTTCAAACCCACTCAAACATTACTTTGACTAACATTCAACCAAATTTGATTCTTTCTTTTAGACCAAACCAATCAAAACATTAACCAAAATTTGACCTACTATTTAATCTTGTCTTCTCTTTTAAGGCTGATTGACCATTCAAGCAATTTCATTATGGAAAATTGTTATCCATGATCTCCATGCTAAAAATTATATCCTTAAAAATTAAGTCCAAAAATCCATCTCAAAATAGATTTTTGAGAGGTGATTCGTTTCTACGTGGACTCATGGAATCCTGTGCCCTACCATTATTTCATGGAAATACCATGGTTATATTCGATTTCTTTTACGTCCCAATAAAAGGGGTGAAAGTAACCCTCCTGAACTTTTTCAGTTTCTTATACGGACAAGAGCGACAGTAAATGAAATATTTGGAGTAAATGGTTAATAACTTGGTGGTAATCAAGCCGCAGAACAAGTCGATTATACTTTTACAGTGCATCATGATCAGGGAGATATGGAATCCCATGCCCAAAATGGGATTTCCATTGGTCGAGAGAGAGAGCATTTTGTGTGATGTGGAGTGACAGAGACCTCTCGATGCGACCCACATGAAGATCTGGATCACCCAAAGTCTCTAAGAAACCCATAGCAAGTCCAAGTACAGAGAGAGAAAAAGAAACACGAATAGAAAGATATGCAGATCAAGCAGAGAGAGAAGAGAGGCCATCATATTCATTTGCAGAATCCTTCATCACAAAGTACCCGATACATTGAATATATTGTGTAATATACATCCACAACAAAACTGTTGAGGGTAAAAACAGAGAAAACAGATCCACCATAAAAATGTCCCCAAAAATGGATAAAACCAGAGGAACAGAGAACCTGTAAGCCTTTTGCAGTTTCACACTATACTCTCAGCTAAACCAAGGAAACCCCTTTCCCCTTTCCCTTCCAATCAAATGAAGAAGCTTAAAAACTGTGTTTCTCTCTCTAAAATTTGAAAAAAAAGCAATGAAATGAGAGAGAAACAAATAGAAGTTCGATTCACAAACAATGCATAAAAGAGAAACCCCACCTCAATTACAGCCAAAAAAAAAAACCCAAAAAGCTCATTTTCTATGCCTGCAACTCTAATGCAAAAGAAGCCCATAATCCTTCAGCTGCACCATTTCCCCAATTTTAATTGCAGGAACCATGTAAATATATAGAAACCAATTTTCATGAACACCACTTTGATAGCAAAACGCAGAAAATTATGAGGAAAATAATGGAACATAACCCAATAACCACTACAAGAACAATGGTGTTAGGTCCATGATGATGATGTGTAGTATGGTCAGTGACATCTGAATCATCGTCCGAAGTGTCATCGTTTTGAGAAGAAGATGGAGCTTCTGATGCAGATTCAGGAGGAGTAATAGGTAAACCAGAGCTATCACATTGCGCTATTCCAAGCTTGAGCTTTGAAGAAACAATGGAGTGATTGTAGCACAAGTTTGAATTCCCACCAACCTTGAACACAACCAGTTTCTTGATAAAACTAGAGTTAAATGGAATGGGGCCCTGAAAATTATTGTTCTCAAGGTTCAGGTACTTCAAGCTCTTCATCTCTGTTAAAAAATGAGGCACCGAGCCATTAAACTGGTTATTGCTTAGATCAAGGTGAACCAGAGATGGGATCTCAGCCATGGATTCAGGTATCGGCCCTGACAGAGAATTCAAAGCTAGAGAGAGGTTCCTCAGCATTATCATATCACCAATGGATATCGGGATGGAGCCAGAGAGCCTATTTGAGCTGAGATTCAGGAGCTTGAGATCACCCAAATGAACCATTGAAGCAGGGATTGGACCCTTGATTCTATTGCCTGAAAGATCAATCTCTGTGACATTTGGGTGCCATTTTCTAGGGAGAATACCAGTGAGATTTGTACCAGATATACTTACTACCTTAATTTCCTTCATTTTTGCAAGAATTATCGAAGCCCCACTTGCATTTACAGTGACATCCTTCACTGTAAGCTCAGTAAGATTACCCATTTTGCTAAGCCAAACACCTGTGAGCTTTTTCATACTGTTCACACAGACAAAAGATCTCAGATTTGAAGCAAGATCAGGAGGAAGCTTAATGAGGTCTATAGGGCAGTTCATAAAGGACAAGGACTGAAGAGTACTCAGAGCTTTAATGGCGGTTTGGGATATCTGAAAGTCATCTGAGCAGTTGATGAGTTTTAGAGAGATGAGGTGCCTGAAGGGCTTTTCACCATTGCAAAGAGTGAGGTTTTGAGGTGAGGTCTGCGAGCAAGGGTCTTTAGAGAGAGGAATGTCTAGAGATTCGAGAGCAATGAGTTGCTTTGGGTCTAATGGGGAAGAAGAAGAGGAAGGAGTTTTAGGGAGAGGTGAAGAAGAAGAGGGAGGAGTTTTAGGGAGAGGTGAAGAAGAGGGAGAAGAAGGGGGAGGAGTTTTAGGGAGAGGTGAAGAAGAGGGAGAAGAAGAGGGAGGAGTTTTAGGGAGAGGGTGAGTTGCAGGGAGAGGAGCCAAGGCCGGAGAAGGAGCAGAGAGGTGGGGTTTGCCGGAAATGTTGCCGGAAATGTGGTCGGAAAGGACAGGAGTAGAGAGAGAAATTAGGAATAGAAAGAGGAGAGAGGATGCGGAGTTGGGTTCCATTAAGGATGAAGGAGAGATTCCGACCTGCTCAGAGACACACTTGTCCTTCGCTGTAGAGAGAGAGAGTGGGAGAGTACTGAAGTTCACTGGCTAGAGAGAGAGTCACTTTAGCTGCTAGAGAGAGAAAGGGTAGAGAGAGAGAGAGGGGAAAGGGCTTGGTGTGTGGATTGCCGAAAGGATTTACTCACTGCTTCTTTCTGAAACAGTTGTCCAGTTATTGATGAAAGAAAAATTTCAGGGTACCGTTTTTCTTGATGAAAAATGATGAAATGCCTATAACTTTATAGATAATGGCACCCCACTACATTTTGTGAGAGGATGCATTCCTTTGTAAGGTTAGGAAAATTGTTTCACGCGGGCTGGACGCATAACGTCCAAAAAGTGCAAAACATCCATCTTAAGATGGGCGCAAGTGGGTGTTCTATCTTAAAGAGGGTATAAGTAAGTTTTCCATCTAAAAATAGTAGAAACAAGTGATTCATATGTTTTTTTCCTAAGGAATTTTAATAAGAAAATATATTTTATTGGGGAATTGTAGTAAGACTACCGTACAGGTTATTTTTGTCTAAAAAAAGCTAAAAAAAAAAAAAATAGTGTAGACGAGGTAAAGGAAAGTTTAAGATTTTTTTCCAATTAAAATTAAATTAAGGTATATTTATAATAATTTCCCTTTTAAAATTTACTTATGTTTTTATATTTATGATCTCCATGTTATAGATTACATATCCTTGAAAATTAAATCCAAAAATTCATCTCAAAAATAGATTTATTAATGGGCCCGCATTTATACAAATGCGAGCTTGGACGCATAGAAACCGAGTCTATAAGGTTAAGTTTTATTAAAGGGAAATGATCATGTGTCCTTTAAGTAGGTGTGAGAACGGGTTGAATCGGGCTCGGATCTAGGTGGATATGGATCGGCATTTGAATAGTATACATCATATTAGGATTTGGATCCGATCGGATCTTGGATATTCAGATTTGGATTTGAATTTGAATAGGATACATCGAGTTGAGATTATTATATATATACTATTTAAAAAATTATATATATGAAATAAAAATATCTTATGTAAAAAATCGGATTGGATCTAGATCCTGATAAGATCCACCTGCACGCAGATCTGATATTTCAATTCGGACCTGGGTCCGGGTCCAGATTTTATATCCAAATTTGGGGTCCATACCCGGATATGAAAAGGGTCCAAATTCCCGGATTTTGGATCCGAATCTGGTTAATTCTCACCTCTAACTTTAAATAGATAATATTGTGGTGTAAAGAGTTTATTTTATCCTTTCATTTAGAAAATATCATTTTGCTTTTCTTCTATCAGCTCTCAATCCCTCTCTACCCCAAATCTTATCTTGCTCTTTCTGGACGAGCCCTAAATCTCTTTTTATCTCTCTCTCTCATATCCCATTTTACTTTTTCTCTACTGCCCCCAATCAGTCTCTCCTTACGAGCCTCCAACTCCTTTTCTAAAATCGTTAAAATCTTACTCTTCTACATGATCTTCATCCATCCATCTCCCCTTTCAGAAACACCATTTTTCCTTTCTTTCTACACAAATATGTATACAAGACTAGCAAATAAGCGAAAGAGATAGATGGTGCATCAGTCTTCCTCTACAAACTTCTATTTTCCTCTCTCTCTCAAAATACTCTCCATTCCCAACCCCATTATTATTTTTATCAATGAGAGAGAGCACTTCTGAAAACAGAATTGAGACCCATCTCTCAAGAGATGTCCTCATTTGTTTTCTCTAAAAGTCAGCTCACATAACCAACAATGCCAAAGGAAAAAAGAGAAAATTATGTTCTATCTTCTCTCGCCAATCCCACCCACCTATTCCTCTCTCTCTTCTCTCTTTTATAAAATAATTTATGTGATCCCTACTTATTCTCTGCTCTATATAACCTCAAAACAATAAAAAAGAGAGATAACTATGGTTATGATAATTTGAGAAAAACGCAAAGTAAGAAATATCCAAAATGAAATACTTTATCACAAGTCAATTGCTATCAAAAAATGATAAAAAACAAAAACTCAAAAACGCTTCTTGCAGTTCTTTGAAGTAAACCTCGGATCAATGCAAAAACTAAGAAACAAATTATAGAAATGAGCAAACTGTGCCTAACTAGCTTGGCTGCTTGATGGGTGACATCAATGCCCAAAATTCACAATGCATATAGTTGTTGCTTTAGGGCTTTGGCGGTAGTACCAATAAGTCCTATAATGAAGTCTTTGACTCCATTCTCATCAAAGGGTAAGGGCACAAATCCACATTGACTTACTCACTTTTTACAAGTTCTTTCAAAGAGCACTTGCTTGGAGGAACTTAAAGAGAGTATAAGAGTCGAGGGGAAATACAATTCAGGGATGAGGAGAGTGGGAAGTGAAAATAGAAGATTTTTTACCGGTTCCTTCGAGGAGCACTTGCTTGGAGGATCTTAGAAAGAGAGTATAAGAGTCGAGGGGATATGCAATTCAGGGGAGAGGAGAGTGGGAAGTAAAAATAGAGGATCTGAGAGAAAGACAGGGAGAGTGAGTGAAAGAGAGTATAACAGAAGAGTGGAAAATACAATTCAATGAAGAGGAGAGTGGGAAGCGAAAACCGCTAAAGATGATAGATATCGTGATAAAGATGAGAGAAAAAGACGGAGGATACAAAAAGGTAGAGAGACAGGGGAGAGTTTTAACGAGAGAGAAATACGAAGTGGTAACGACGGTTTCAATGGGAGAAGGAAAAAAAAGGGCAAACGGCTCAAAGATAATTTAATCAGAAAAGCTCTTCACATGCTATCAAGTTAGTATCCTCCTAGATTCTTAGATCTTCAAAATCAACGGTCTACATTTTAGATACACTCCAACAATGTATATTCAAAAGGGAAACGTTTCTATGCTTCCCCTGCAACATAGAAGTTCTATCATCCCTCTACCATTCAGCCGTTCAATTTTGATCAAGAGAGTCACTCACCGTTTAATCTTAGATCTGACGTCTCAAAGTGTTTTATTTTTAGTTTTTTTATACAAATGGTATCAATATGAAATTTTGTACGTACCATCTGCTCATTGAGGCGCACCAATAAAAATATTAAAAATAATTTTGTGATAAATATAATAACCAAAATACCCCTTAAAAATTTCAAAAGTATTTTGGTCATTTTATGTTATTGAAAATAAATTTTTTTTATATTTTTCGCTAGTGCGAGTTTAATAGAGAAATGTATGTCCAAAATTTGGTATCAAACTACTTTATAGAAAAACATTAAAAATAAAATAGTGTAGAAACGTGACATTGTGATTGGGACAATCTTTACCCACCATTCAAAATGAACGGTTAGATAAGAGGGAGGATATAACTTCTATGCTGTAGGGGAAGCATAGAAAGCTAGCCCTATTCAAAATACAAACTATCATTCCTCTTTATTAAAAGAATGTAAAGCCTCACCTCGAATCCTTGACTGAAAAGCACTTTAGGCATTAGAAATTTCTATGATAACTTTAAAATTAATTTCCAACACCTATTAAGAATGAAACAAATCTTATAAAATTGTTAACGTTTATTTTTAAGATAAAATGCACATTTCAAATAATTTTTTATAATATACATTATTTTTAGGATTCGAAGTCCTATTTCTTTTTCACCAGTCAAAAGGCCGAAATGACGAAAATATCTGAAGCCGTTCCCCTATGTCATGCGCATGCAGCCCAATATTTTGTGGAAGGGCATTGATAGTACGAACGCCTGGTCCCACATGAAATATGACACATGATGGAATCAGGGTTCAAGAAAATGGAGCACCGTCAATCGAAATCAGGATCACAGATTTTAGGGCAATACGGCTCAATTGATTCGGAGAAAACTCTTTAAAAATAAATTGAAGTCGATAACGAAACTTTCCATATAATTGATTTAAAAATGTCAAAATAGTTAAAATCTTCAAAAAAATTGAACACCAACTCAAATATTGAATAAATAATTCACAATTTTTAAATAGAGCGATTTGAAAAACCTTGTAGCAGTTTTCTGGATCAATTTTATTGAACTCAAACTGAATCACATTTAAATCACAAAAATTCACGAAAAAAAAAAGTTTCAAACATTTTTGCAATTCCAAGTGGCTCATTTTGGGCTATTTCAAATCCGAAAAATCGTCAAATAAAATTCAATTCAAATGTTAAATGACTTTATTTTTTATACTTTTCTGAATTAATATTGAATCACAATAAGATTTGGATCAATTTGAAATGATTCAGCCGAAAATCAAAGAGATTGCAATTCATAGAAATGGGGCTCCAATTCTAAAAATAGAGCTATTGATCTTCTAGATTGATGATGAACAACTAAAACTACAACTTTTTTGGGACCTAAAAGGCAGATTTTCAACAAGAATTTGACAGCGAGAGAAGCATTTGGGTGTTCAAAACAAGCCTTAACAATTAACCTTGTAAAATTGTGGCAATTCCTAAAACACAAGCAAAAAACAGGAATCGTCCAATTCTTGTGGAAAATTGCAAGGGCGAGCCCCTGGTCCATAGGCATTGGAAACCGATGGCCCTCTTGTTTCGAGTCAGGCGATGGCCATCGGACAACGATTGTCTAAACGCTATAAGAAACACCAAACTTCTTGCACATGACATACAATAATAGTTATTTGTTTTCAAAAAATTAGGTGTAGGAAAAATAGAGCCCCAAAAAGTTGTCTAAGTGAAAAAATATATGGTTGGTTCAGATCTTAATAACTAAAAAAAGTAAGTTTCCAAAAACAAATGTGAGTCGGTGGGAATTTGAGCCAATGCCCTTTGTTAAAAATGGAGTCGGAGACTTCATTATAGAACGACTTCATTATAGAACTCGTTAGTACTACTGTAAAAGCCCCAAACCAAATCAAATTCCAATCGAGTAGTACACAACAAGACCACTTACTACTAATATAAGAATAGTGGAAGGTCATAATCATTCAAATCGAGCAGTTGAGGGTGCATACAATCCCTAATTAGATTTGCAATGCAACATACCCATCCAACTAATAATAAAAACTATCCACAAAAACATAAAACAAGACAAGGGAACTTCCTCTTCTTCTGAATAACTCAACAAACAAAGAAAAGGTCCAAGCCCAATTAGAAATCTTGGAGATATGCATCGTATTTTATGTAGGGAAATATATTCAAATATCTATGAGAGATGAACTATTTAACATTCTATAAATATCTTTTGATTTAAATTCAAAATACACATACAAATGAATACTTGCAAATGGTTGTGATCAATAGATTTTATAC